ATTGTTTTGCCTTGTTTTTCTCAGGTTTTTCAATGGCTCGAGGAGATAGACAACATCATTTTCCACATAACTGGCTAGCACACCCCTATCTACAGTTTTTGGATACCATTTCGGTTGCGGACCACAACTCCTTCATCTCATCGATGTCTGCTTTGCTGTCCAAGTAGATTTGTACACCCCAGTCACTTCAGTGGGGGATTACAGATAGGTTGGGTTTGGCAACTCGTCTGGAGTCGTACCTTACTTGATTACTTCGCGATGATAACGGTCTCGAGCTTTTTACTTGCTAGGGGTGGCGCTGCATTTTTGGGAAATGAGAGGTCGTTTATCAGGAGCTTTGTTGGGATTTATTCTCTACCATTCAGTTCGACAAGGAGTCGAGACTCTGAGCTGATCAATCGATTTTTATCTTTCATTTGGTAGGGGCATCCCACTCTTGCAGTTTCATGGAGCTGGGACGACGTTTGGGGATCTACAATGACGAGGAGATGGCTAGCCCTCATTTCTTACATCATCTTGATTGTTGCATCACTTCACCACCACATGAGTTCATTCAGATGCATGTCTAGGCTCGTGTCAGGGGTACTTATGTGGCTAGGTTGGTCAAGGAGAGTACATTCTGATATGCTATTATGAGTTTGATTCATCGATTGGTCGTTTCTACCATTTGTCACCGTGGTGAGTGTGACAATGTGTCTGCAAGCGATTTATTCTATATGTGGTGCCTGATTCGCACTGAGGTTTTCCTCAACCTTCCTTTTTCTCTTGCTTTATATGTATCTAGTCTAGTCGTGGGTCCCTTGTCATGGAGCAAGATTTGTGGGGGTTATCTTTCCAGTCACCTAGCTAGCTCCTATGGGGTAGATACTAGTGGGATGATTTTGTATCCTATCTGTAACGTCCCAAAATTAAGACCAAAAATTTTGATTTTTATTTTAATAAAACCATTATCCATACAAATATCATAAAACCATAGTGAAATCATAGTATATCAAATAACATCCAAGTATAATCAGAGTCATATAAAATGCAGAACTACGTGGTGTGTGCACTGCAATCATCCTGAGCTCTTCCCTTTCACACCAGAAGTACCTGAAACATAAACTAAAAACCATAAGCACAAAGCTTAGTGGGTTCCCTAAAAATACCACATACCATACATATCAAACATATAATCATCCCCGCTCAGAACAGATCTGTCAGTCATCAGGCACCGCCTGGCATCCCCCCCCCCCCCCGGTATACATACAAACACATAAACACATGCAAAAATCACAAAGATAAATAGCATACAATAATCATCGAGCCCCGTCCGGTAAATATCATAAATCATACATGCAGAGTCACGCAGACAACTAGCATCTTAATCATAATAAACCATGGGCCGGCATTAGTGCCTTCGACCCGCTAAACAGTGAGGAAACTCACCTCAAGTTGCTGAATCTCTCAGATAAGATCTCGGTTTGCTGATCCGGAAAATCCCCGCGCTAACACCATCAAATAATATCCAATTAATAATCGGATCTCGACCCATAATCAAGAATCTAAATTACTTGTCCAACATCCAGGGTAAAAGACCATTTTACCCTTTTCTTACTTGGCCCAAAACCAAGGCCCAACCCGTTTGCTCAAAAGGCCCAAATTCCTAAATAGCATCCCAACCAATATGGCCTAACTTCCTAATTGGGCCCAAAAACCATCATGGACCTAATTCCAAGAAATCCTAATGTATATCCATGTCCCAAAGTCAGAAGTCCAATGGCCCAACAAAGCCCAAACCCTCAAAGTCCAAAATATGGCCCAAAACCGAGAAAGTCAACCAAAAATCAAACTGCTGAGTACGTTGGGCGTACTCAGGCTTACGCTTAGCGTACTCCTTCCGGGGCCAATATGCGCAGCGTACGAGCTGGGTACGCCCCACGTACTCCGCAGACCACCAATCCAACCCATTAAGCACTTAATCGGTTAAGCCATCCAGCCAAAGTCTCAGATTTGATCCTAAATAGTGACTTAACAGGTAAAGTTGGCAACTTTACTCCTATGCATGTCTTAATAAGACCCAAAACTCAAAGATAACCATAACAAGGAACCTAACACATGCATGGACCAAAATAACTCATAATGTTTGCTTTTTTATGGACAAGGGACCTCAAATGTGCTAAGATCTAACATCCATGGCTTCTGGAGTAGACCATAATCTCAAAAGGGGCTTAAAAGACCCAAAAATGCACAAATAACACCCTAAGTTGGATCTAGCATAAAGAACCATCAATATGAGAGCTTTTTTACCTCAAATGGCTTGCTAAGATGAAGATGACTCTGGATCAACAAGCTCAAGCCACTCCCAAGAAACCTCCAAGTGTTCTTCTTCTTCAACTTCACCAAAAACACCACCAAAACTCACTTTCAAGCTCAAATCTCACAAATGACACTTAGGGTTTCGATCTTAGGGTATAGAGAGATTGAGGTTATTCAATAGAAGGTCCAAGGGTGTCTTAATTTGTTTAAATAAGGCACAAACCCTAAAAATTCGGGTTTTCCCCAGCATTGCATACTCCCTGCGTACTCCCACATACGCCCAACATACGTGGGTGCATGCGCGATCCAAAAATGGGCTAGTACACTAAGCGTACTAATAGAGTACGCCCCGCGTACTAGCTAGGGACTAAAATGAGATAAACTTTACATTAAGTGTTAAAAGAACATACCAATAAATCTCGAATGTTACACTATTAGGCACCTTGATGAGAGGGCTCTGATAAATATACGAGCGATTGTACATGGAAATGATGGGATTGCGAGGATTCCTCCTTGTGATATAGTAGAACTTCTTCGCCAAGTGGAGCCTGAGCCTGAGCCTACATTCCATAGGCGGTAGAGGGCTAGGCATTCACCACCGGTTGCTGAGTAGGGGCCTGATCCTGAGATTGATTTACGCTACTTGGCTCATCGTATAGACGCATTGAGTATGGAGCATCATATTATCATGCAGGGTAAGCAGTGGATTATAGCATCCCTTACTTGTCTGATGGATCATCATAGGATCGTTCATGCACCATTCCCACAGTCGGGCGATGGTGCTGGTAGATCTGGGACACAGCATGACAATGACGATGATGATCATGAGGAGGATGATGAGGAGGAGGAGGATGAGGATGACGACGATGATGCTTTTATTGGAGGTTTGTAGATGATGTATGTGTTTCTATTTTTGGATATACTTTATGGTCTTTTGTTTTTATGATATTTATTGTTACTTTGGGATATTATCATGGTTTATCTTATGTCTTTTGTATGTCTTATATTTGTTATCATATTACTTTTCGGTTGTGGTTGTGCATTTGTCTAACCCAAAACTTTAACATAGGTGAGCAGTCTATGTTTAGTTGTGGCTTGGCCCATGTATAATATTTAAATTAAGATAATTGGCTTTGCTCTTTCGCTTTTTGTTTGTATGCTTTGGATTGGTGTTTTAAAATTCTTGTTCTATACTTCTAGACTATCAAATAAGGATCAGACAGATAGGTAGTGTAGTAGGGCATGACCATTTTAGTGTATAGCCGTTCTGAAATCCAGCAACCTAAAGCGACAATTCCGGTCTAGTCACATTTCCCGTAAGTAGCCTATCGGTAGTGTAATTAGTAATAATACTTTTATTTATAGGTTTGAGAACAAATCTTATCATAGTATATGCCTTAGGCTATTGTCGTATTTTTTTCCTAAAATAACACTAGTTCACTATAACCTGTTGGTCTAATACCAATCTGTCACACCCTCGGCTAGCGACGGAAACGTCGAGCTGCGCGATGTTTTTAAATATCATAACCATAAAGGCATAAAGCCATCAGTACATAATATTTATTTAAACAATGATTGCATTGAATATTTTACATGCCAAAATCTATCAATCTCTTTATGTCTTGTACTCTCTTGGAATGATCTTCTCTTCTTTGGCTTCCTTGGAATACATGTGATTTTGAAAATGGTCAACATAATGTTGGTGACTTCACAGGTTTTTATAGTTTTTTAAAAATACTCGTTGTAAAAGTTTACAACATAAGATATTTGTTTATGAATATACATGCTTTCGTAACTCCTCTTATACTCTAAGTCTTTAAGCAGTGTTTTCTTTCACTATCTTTGATTGATAATTTGCCATCTTTCCTTTGGCATTCTCTTTTTATTTCACTTTTTCCTTCTTTCATGAATATTTGTATGTGTACACTCAATTAATATCGAGTGGACATTTGATAAGATACTTAGGAAAGTATCAATCATTATTCTTGTATTTGTTTACTTGGGTATATATATATATATATATATATATATATATGTTGACGTATCTCACCTGGACCAACGTCAAAGGATAATGGAGTCGTCAACTCAGGAACTGCCCATCAAAAACCCACTACCCAGCAAGAGACAAGAGCAAACCATTGTCCATAAGACCCCGCGTTCTAGCACCGGCAATCTGGCCTCGGGGTTGGCCCCCTTTTAGGAGAGAAACTCTCGTTCCAGATAAGACAAAGGAGTGCAGTTGCCCCAGACCCACAGGTGTAGTACTCGGTGATCTGCCAACTGTCAGTTCTGCACCAATAGCAAATAGCCACCCGTGGAGTACGATCTACCAATCGAAGGTCGCCTCGTCCTGCCATGCCTGAAAAAGTAGACGATATTGTCGAGGATCTGTTCCCCTGCCACAGGTATAAAAAGGTCCCTTCTCCCTTAAGAGAGGGGATCGACTCTTTAATCCCAGTCTCATACTTTGCATAATGGACCTTTTCTCAAAGGAACTCACTAACTTGACCGACGGAGCTTCGTTCCGGGATCACCTCCTGGACGACGTCTGACGATCTGGTTTTCTTTGTTGTGATCATCAGGCTTATCTTTTTCACCCCTCAAGGAGACGAAGGTAAGTTGGAGAAATATCACAACAATTCGCGTCATCCGGGTGTGCACTCAGTATTGCACAACCCATCTAAAGACGTTAGGCGCCGGAGATGACAGAAAAAGGACCCATATGGCCAGACGGTGGTGACAACAGCCCAGTCAGACCAATGCAGTCCCTCAACGGGAGTGGTCCATCATCACTGGGAAGGGCAACCGCCCACTCAAACACCGACAACGTTGGCAATGGGGTCCGCGGTAGAGTTCATTGCCAGTTTATGGCGACCGCCACCCGTCGCAACGGAACACCCGGCCACAACACCCACCACAGCACCTCAAAGAGCGTCGAACAACCAATCACAACCAACAGAAAATCGACCTCTGACACCATTACGATAGGTGGGTACCAGCACCTGGTCCCCCGCTACCATTCTACCCGCACAACTCTCATCCACAGGTCATCTGTCTTCCCCGATGGCCAGCATGTCGCACATCCCGGTATTCGCACAGCAACTAGCCTTCAACCCATACTCATACCACTACCAAGGTGTGTCTCCCTAAACAGCACAACTTCAAAGTCATAACAGTCAAGGCACACCAGTGCTGGAGACGAGCTCACACACTACGGGGCCAACAGAGTAAAGTTCACAACCGGACCAGCTGATGCTCACATACTCCACACAGGCACCATACATACCACAAGTAACCATGTACAACCATGGGTACCAATACGGGTATGGACAAGGGTACAACAACCCATACCACATACAACTGGTGATGGCCGACGGAGCATTCACCTACCTACACATGGACAGCCCGGTCACGAGCATCAGCTCGGCATTCTGCCAAGAGCTCTTACAGTAAGAAATACTACATTCCCCCATGATACCAAACATTCCAAAGTATGACGGCACGACAGATCCTGATGAGCACATAGACACCTACGAATGGACAATAACATCACTACGAATGGACAAGAGGTTTGCCTGCACCTACTTCCCGGTCACGCTGTCAGGAAATGCTAGCAAATGCTTCAAGGCACTGCGTCCGGGAAGTATCTCCAGCTTTGAACAATTGAGATATCTTTTCCTCAACAATTTTATGCAATTAAGGAAAATCAAAGGAGATGCCAACTCCATTATGGCATGCAAACAAAAAGAGGGGAGAGTCCATCCGAGCGTACTATGACCGGTTTACCCTCACAACTCTGAGCGTCCCCGGTCATGAGGAGTTTCTAGTCACAGGCGCTTTCATCTAGGGGTTACTCCCAAGCCCCCTGTCGAGGAAAATGCAAGGAATATTGCCAAAATCTATGGACGAACTGAAGGATAGGGTCGAAAATTACCTCAAGCAAGTTGAGGGAGAAGATCGCAAAGAAGCCAATCTAAAAGTTGTAGTGAACGCATACCTCAAACAATAATCAGCTGAATCCCATCCCGCCATAGTCACAAGGAGAGTCACGATGGAAGTCACGATAAGCATAACATACATTCGAGACATTCATCCCGCAGGTTTCGCCCATTCGTCAAGGACGAGCCCAGGAGCCATAGGCCGGAAGTACATACTGCGGAAAAAACCCCTTATCGGGTGGAAAAAGAAAAAGGGAAGTATTGTGAATACCACAAGAGCAAAACCCACGACACCGGGAGAATGCACGATCCTCAAAAGAGAAGTAGCGGACAAGCAATTGAATGGAAACCTCGTGGAGATCGCGAAACCCTATGATCAAAATTCGAAGTCGGACAAAAAGACGGGCGAACCTGTAAGGAAGCGAATAAACAACCAGCCAAAAAGGAAGAGATCTTCACAATCGTGAAGCCCCATAACAGATCTAGGTAGCGATCGGCAAACAATAGCATCGGTGCCCTACTTGGTGATACACTTAACATAAGTTTCTCACCAGGAGACCCGTGAACGCCCAACTGGGACCCCACAAACCCAATCATAATCTCCGCTTACATCCAACAACACCATATCTGGCGAGCCTTGGTCGACGGTGGCAGTAGCATCGACATCTTCTACGAGCACTGTTACGAACAAATCCCGACATCCTGGAAAAAGAATCTAAAACCATCGACCTGAGCCCCACTCTTCGGCTTCACAGGACACAAGTTGTGTCCGCTCGGGACCATAAGCCTCCCATTGACAATACTTAGCCACGATGGGAAGGAAAATGTAACAAGGATAATCGAATTCATAGTACTAAAACACAGGTCTGACGACGATATCATCCTTGGGCGGCCAGCCCTTTTCCGGCTCCAAGACATCCCATCAACAATACATGGTATAGTAAAATTCAGGACGACCAACGGCTCGGCAATAGTGACCGCCCTCAACCCACGGGCAAAGCAACAACGGGTGATCTCTGCCTGGGTTAACTGGCACATTCTAAGACGGCGACGCACAACAATAATCACAACCCAGGTCCAGGACAGGGGAAAAGTCGCCACCCCCAGACAAACAGCCCGGGGGGAGAAGGGCGCGATAGCAACAGCATTACAACGCTAGAAACATCGAGGATAGTCAGCAGGAACACCAAACGAGGTTGGATACCCCTAAGCCTGCCAAAATGTTGTCACACAACGAAAGGCCTGAGAACGGAAAAAGAGGAAACAACGGGGCATAAGCGCGAAGTCTCGCAGCTCGACCAGAAACGCAAGGGGGAAACCGCTAAAGTCGGAGTAGCGAGGGTAGGTAACTACCCCAGAAAGGAAGATGTCAACAGGAGACCCACCACAACTGTAAGGGCCCACAACTGGCAAAGGCTTCTTTTAGGACGACATTTAGTCGGGAACCTCGCAAACAACAGCAGGAAAATCGAACCACAAAGGAGCCAAAGGGTCATAATAATACAAACATGCACGCCGAACAAGACAAACTCATCCCTAGATGATAACCAGGTAACCAGAACCGGGGAATGGAAAAAATTGAAGATCGTCCTCCCAAAGACGGCCAACCTAAAAACAGCCAACCAGGGCCCGCATGCTAGCACGAACGCTGAAGAGCTCGTGGACACAAGCCGCCAAGGGACAGAAACCAGGAAAGACCAAGAAGAAGAATTTGCTCTGATGGCCTGGGAGCCCCAGAGCCCAAACCAACAGGCTTAGAACAGGGGAGGGGGGAACCAGGGAATGGGTCAAGTGATTAAACTCCTACCGAATAATCACCCCCCCAACAAGCCAGCCCAGGAGCTAGGCCTAGTATAGCATCAGCTATCCCACCCCCCCGATACCTATCTAATGATGTAAATGTCTCTAAGACACTAGAAAATATGCAATGAAAAGTTACAATTTGAAACAAACGCATATTAACATGCATTCATACAAATGAAAATCAAAGACAGACTGATCATCCACGCCACTTACATGAAACCATTGTAAAAAATACAATCATAAGCCTCAAAGGCTCGCAACCTTTCCCTAATAAAATCTCGCTATGGCTATGTACGGTGAGAATTAGGATGTGGGATAGCTAGAGGATATGAAGGGTCATAACCTTCGTCTCGCAATGAAACAATATCTAAGCGTCAAATCCTCGGGATGACAACCTTGGCACGGCTTAGATAATCAAACTCGGAGACAGGGGCCCCACGAGCCCAAAACTCTGAATAAAAGTCTAAAAGGAAAAATAGGGGAAGAGAATAAAGGGCAGTAACCAAATTGAATAACCCTCTCTTAACAGAGAAACTTTTCTGTCAATCTCTCACCTAATACAAACTTAAATAGGAATAGCAACACAGAATAGCATTCCTGGGACTGACCAAGGTCCAAGAAAGAACTCAGCCCCGGGGTGGCCAAGTTAAACCCCCCAGTAATCAAACCGAATAAACCACAAGTAAATCACAAGCAAAGTACAAAGCTATGTTTTTTCAGAAAATAAAACAAATTTGTCCACCGGACAGATCTCGGGCTTAAAAAAAGGCCACACGGGGCCATCAAAAAACGAATAACAACACTGTCAAAGTTGTTCACCAAATGAAAACCATTCAAAAGAAAACATTGTTTGAATTTCACCAACCAAAGGCAATCCACACATAACAAAGGAGATAGCAGAAATCACATACTGGGGGCAGGGGGAAGGTCCGGCCCCAGAAGTACTTCCTTCAGGACATTATCCTTCAACATCAGGGTCATTACACAACAGACGAAGACCCTCCATGTCGAGCTCGCCAAGGTGGAGGTAGGAGGCGAAATCTGTCTCCAAGAAAGATTTCACCTCAGCATGCATGGCTTGGGTATATTCTAGAAGGACGCTCGGCTCGCCAGGTATAAACTTCCCAACAGCAACCTGCTCCCCTGATTACCTGCTGGCCACCCTCTACACTGGCTGCCATACACACAACCTTCATTTTCTTAATCCCAAGTGTGAACTCGGAGCTCTCAAATAATTTATCCACAACCCGGACAATCCCTTTCTTTAGGTGCCAAGACAAATCCACCTCCATATTCTCCCATGTCCTCTCCGTCTCCAGCTACCCACGACACTCCTTAACGTGGTCCTCTAATACCCCTTTTTCCTCAACCAACGCCTCTACACGTTGAGACAAACTCCCCACAGATTCATCCAGTCTCACAACCTGCTCCTCCAAAGAGGCCTTCTCCCCATCCAAAAGGTCATAAGGCCATCAAACGCACACTTTTCTCCCTCCAACTCCAGTAACCTCACCCTCAATTCAACCCGCTCAGCCCTAATCAAAGCAAGCTCACCATACCTCGAGTTGCTCTAACGAAGGTGACGAGCAGTCGTCACCATGTATGAGCCAACCTGAGCAGCTGCATATAAAAGACTGTTTAAAAGATATGAGTTAGAATGAAGCTCCAAAGCCTCAATGGTGGCAGGGGGAGCATGACAACCCTAGTCATACGCCACCGTGTGCTGCTTGAGGTGAGATTCCTGGGTAATCCCCTATTCCGGTACATATATGGTCGGCGCCGTTGGAGGAACAGAAGTAGAATCCCCAGTAGCACCCTCCCCAGTCAGAAGCAGTATTGATACTTTTGGATCATCTTCGTGAGCAACGCCCGAGTCAACACCAAAAACGCTTTTCACCAAAAGTAATAGGTTCCTCTGGCTCTTCTTTGAGTTTACGGGGCAGTTTTGCCGCCCCTTATTTCACCCCCTCAGACTGTTTCGAAGTGACATCATCGGGGATGTCCACTACCATGGTGGACTCCCCCAAAAGGAAGTCCACATTTCACCTCTTGAGGAGGCGTCGGCCCGAGGAGCTAGTCCTGGTAGATTCTGCCTGTGGTGAATCCAACCAAGAAAGTCATCACTTCGAGGCCACGCGGGTATCCTGTCTCACTAGCCCGTTCGAGGCCTCCTCCTTCGTGTCAGAATGCAAAGGTTCTTCACGAGAAACACCGCCGACCGGAGCATCGACCAGCTTTGGGTCGGATCAAAGATCAGGCATTGGACCCAAAGGAGTGATCGGCCCGAAGAGAGCCCATGCACAGTCGATGCTAATTGGCGGAGAAAGCACTTCCACCAACGGCATCTCCTGATGAAGACAGACACCCTGAAAAAGACCTCTCAAAACCATCTTAAATGGAATGATCCTCTCACGACCTAACAGCAAAACAAGAAGATCAAGCACATAAAAAAATAAAAAAATAAAAGGCGGGGGGGGGGGGCATGCCACACTGTGAAACACAAACGCACACGAAGGAAAGCAAAACAAAAAGGGAGGAAGGGAGAAGCGTTTACCATCCTTCACAACAAAAAATTGAGGCATCATTCCTTAAGACCTTCAAGCTGCACTCATACCCACAGAGGCCAGCATACGGTCCTCCCAGTCATCCCCGTTGAAAGAGATGCTCTTCAAAGCGTTGGCAACCTGCTCGCTAGCCCCCCAAAGAGTAGGAATCCAATCAGAAAAATTGGATCTACGAGGATAACTGTTACACCGGTTCTTGCATCCGATTTAAACAAGTAAATTTATCACTGCCGGTTGCACTAAAAATATAGCAGAGGGAAGCAGGTTCGAATCCTTAGGGACACAACCTAATGGTCAATGCCTTTTTGTATCAGGCACATTCTAGTCAAAACAGAAATTATTAATAAGGGGGATTTTGATGAAAACTAAAAACTAAAAATGCAGTGATATTAAATTAAACGAAAATCAATATAAAAAAACGATTTCAGTTCTGCTGCGAATTTCCTAATCATGCAATTAGTTCAGATCTGGTTATTCAGAATGCGTTTTATCTAGGCTGTTACTGAGAAAAACTAACAAGCTCTAGTATAATCTCTTTTACCTTAATTAGTTAACCAAAACAAGCTCTTTGAATTAACCCTAACTTTTTACTGTTCAATTAAAAAAGCTCTTAATTAAATCATAAAAGTTGCATTAAGTTCTGTGTAAAATTCCCAGCAATACCCAATACTTCTCACAAGCTCGGAAGCGTAAAGATATGATTTTTCAGTTTATATCAGAGTTAAATCCCAACACGGAACCAATCTGATACTTGTTACTTTTTATCAGTTGACAAGAACAATTACGGATTCTATTAACTGATTAACTTGAATAATAAAACCCTAGATAGGTGATCAGACTAACAAGAATTTAAAACCAAACATTCATTAAGCTCAAAACTGAAAAATCTAGATAGAAACACAAAAATAAACCAGATCTTATAACTAATTACATGAAAAGTACTAGTCTAATGCAGAACTGAAAACTAAGGTTTTAGCCAGACATGGGTAAAATCTGATCTAGAACAATAAAAAGAAACATTAAACTACTAAATCTTACTAAACTAAACGTGGGAGATGATCTAAAGTCTTCAGATCTCCATAAAGTGATGAAAAGTGTATAAAATCGCCTTCAGAAGGGTTTTTCGTCGTCTAGAATCGACTTAGAGGGTATGTGGTATTTATATAGCAATATGGGCAGCAAATAAGGGTCCTGGCAGTAAGCACGGGCCCTGCTTAGAGGGAGGGGGCACGCCCGTGCCAGCTCATTGCAACTTGATAATCCAAAATAAATAAGAAAAACTCAAAATTTGGGGAAGCAAGGCCGGTTATTGGGTGGCACAGCCCGTGCTTGGGATTCGTAGGTTAAAATACCCAAAATAAGGCAGGAGGAGGTAGGCACGGCCCGCGCTTGGGAATCACGCCCCGAGCTTTAGGGCCAAAATTTTAAAATGACCTAAAAAAATCAGAAATCCTCCGTTCATGTTTCATAAGTGAAGTACGACCCATTTTTGGTGAGATATAGCTTGTATTTGGTCTTTTTTTTAGCGTTTTGGCTTCAGATAAGCTCCATATGTGCTCCAAAGACTTTCAAACTCCCGCTCAACTTCAAATTACCTGAAAATAAACACCAAAACATGAGCAGTATAGAAATTCTTACGAAATACATTAGCTGAACATTATTTAAACTAATGCACATGCAAAAGCATAAAAAATGATTCAAAATGCTAATAAAAACTACCCTAAAAGATGCATAAAATGACATCTATCAATAACCGTAACCGACTAAATCCCGATTCACCCAGAGCCACCTGTCCTGTCAATTCTTCTTTGGTGCTTTCTGGTTCACGATGAAAGCATGAACACCTCTGCGTAAAAGAAATGTGTGAGTACCAGATTGAGTCGATGAATTGACAAAGTACTTGAAAGCCCATAGTTAGGGAATCACACCCAGAGCCCAAAACACCATCTCAAATCCAACTATCATGTTAACAGCGTTGGGGGTAAGGTCGTCGGCAGTGAAACCATAGTGACGCATGATCTTGTCAAAAAAAATTCAGTCGTTGGCAACCGGAGCCCTGCCTCAAAGATGAGAATAGGAACTCTGAACTTACCCTCTGGTGGTCGGGAGATGGCGGCTCCCTTATGTGGAAACTCGACCCCATGATTGGGGAGGAAACCAAATCGCTCCTGCAGCCCGGAAAACTCTTCGGAAGATGGAGCGACACCCGTGTCTAGAGATGCCATGGTCTGGTAACAAATGGGAAACGAAAACGAAGAAGAATAAATGTGGAAGGAACGGAAAGAAAGAAGCGATATTAGAGGAAAGAATAAGCAAAGGAAAAAAAAAGCAGATCGAATAAGGAAGGTTTTAAATGAAGGCGGGAAACCTGAACAGTTACAATGATGAAAC